TACATATAATTTAAATTAATTTGACATTTGAAATAACTGTTTCTGTTTTAATTTTTAAATATATACGTACGTAACGTTGTTACAAAAACGTGTTTTTGCTTTTATTTTCACCGTTTATGCAATAAGTTCTATGTATTCACCATAAGTTTAAAGTAAAGGCACATTAAAAATATTAAGGATTAGATTCATGTCATTAGAAGTAACTTATGGAAATACCCAAGTAAATGAAGATCTTGTTGCCTCATTGCGGAAATATAACATCATTATAAATACGAGAAGTCTCGGAGAAGATACTGCGATCGCTAAAACCACCACCAAGTATTTTGTTTATGGAAAATTCATTATTAGTATTTATTTTTATTGTACAGAATTTAGTATGCGCCCACGACGGCAGTTTTAAATATCGTTTTATTTTCTCTGTTTCCTACTGTAGGTGAACCATGCATTTATGTGCGTGCGTTGCGAGATGTTTATATGAAGCTTCACCACTCTGGTTAGTAGCCTGTATACAGATTAATGAGCAAGAGAAGGAGTTTATATATTAACATGTATTTACTGAAATATTCATGAATGCAGAACTAAATTCAGGAAATTTCAATGTACATTTCCATAATATTTATTGCTTCGAATTTTCTTAATTTACACTAAACTAGTTAGCGTGGAGGCAATTAAATAACGAAAACAATGTTGGAATACCTAGCCCCATCCCGTGGCTACAATTCCACACACGTGTTCGTTTGAACGTGACAATTGTCCCAGGAGATATTCGACGCACGTATCTAGTTATCTTAACTATTTTGCGGTGCAATCACGGACCTAGCTATGGATTCGCTATCAAAACAAGTTCCATTTATAAAAATAATGTTAGAGTGTGAATCCTGAGAATCAAAACTAGCAAGCAGACTTAGTTCTGCAGCATATGCTGTAAAAAAGAATAGAAGTCTAACCAGTGTTGACACAGCTAGACTAGTTTACTTTAGCTATTTCCATAGCATATTGTCGTATGGTATTTTGCTATGGGGACACGCAGCTGACACCGAAATTATATTTGTTCTACAGAAGAGGGCCATAAGAGCAATTTATGATTTAAAGCCTAAAGAGTCGCTGCGACAAAAATTTAAGGAAATTAATATATTAACTTTGGCCTCTCAATACATTTATGAAAATGTAATGTACGTACACAAAAAAAGTAGTTTTACAAAAATTAGTGATATTCATTCTGTAAATACTAGGAACAGACATAAGCTGGTAGTACCAATTACTCGACTCCATCGAGTCAGTAATTCATTCTTGGGGCGGTGTATACGCTTTTACAACAAAATTCCAGAAAATATACAAAAGTTAAACTAAGTTTGCATAAAAAGGGTTATTATAATATTAAAGAATTTATGGATGATAATGACCCCTGGAAATGTGGTGATCACTACCAAGCTATTTCTAATTTGTTGTGTTGTTAATTTGTGTGTTTGTTGTGTTGTTAATTTGTGTGTTACATGATTGTAAGCTGTTATTAAAAAAAAGTCCCGCTGGGTTTCTTGCTGGTTCTTCCAAGGACAGAGGTTTTTTTTTCGAACCAGTAGTTTCAATAAGTATTATTTATAATCTATTATAAATATATATATTGAATAGAAAAGTTCCTGTTTCCGTTTCTGTTTCTGAGGACTATGATGAAATGCTCAATAGCCCAATTTACTATAAGCTACAAGCCCATTTTAGTCTATACCCTTCAGGCCGGAGCAAAGTGGGAGGGGGGGGGGGGGTCGGCTTGTCGGCAGATATAAGTTAAAAAGTATAAGAACCCACCTAAATGATCAGTTAGGCGCAAAATGTGCCCTAAATTTTTGTATTTATTATTAGTTTGACAAGATTTCGTAAAACCTATCATCACTTTAAAATATTTTTTTGTGAGCTTCGATTTCGGCTACGCGTTCTATTCCCTCACGGAATAAGTATCGCTACAGCGTACAAGTACCCTGCAAATAATTGCACTAGGCCTGGGTGTTTCAGTTTGACATAGTAGGTAAGGAATAGGTTCTTTTCTTGACCCAAGTCCCTAAGTCCCCAATTCATATCGGCCCGAAAAAACCGCTGGGCCTCCCCATGGATTGCCTCACAGGGAAAATATTTGCCATAGTTGCCACGCTTGGCAAACGGGTTGGCAACCGCAGTACTTTATTTTTCGTAGTTATTAAGAAGACGTTGCTGCCCATCTTCTGACTTGTTCTGACCCTGTCGTCTCTCACGATACCCACGGGAAGAAATGGCGTTGTGGATATTCTTACACCGCTACTACATGGTAAAAAACGCCGCCATGGCATAGGAAATTCCCAGTATGAGTGTAACGTTTTTAAAATAAAATAAATATTTTATATCAATGATACTTTCTTGAAGAACTTTGATCTTACAGTACGGTGTGTAGGTTTAAAAACCCCACAATTGTCAAACAAATTAGAACTGAGGCGGAGAAAACTTTAGAAAAAAATACTACGAACGACCATCCTCAAAGATGTAAAAATATAAAAAATGTTGTAAAAAAATTAATTTTTTTTAAAAATGTGTTCTCAACATGACCTCAATAATAATATGCTCGATACGATCTTCGTATATTGTGGAGGTACAGTTCTTTACACTTATAGCTGCATGCATTAAAGTTTCGTAAGGGTACTGCACATTCTATACTGAATAAAAATATTGCAACCGCCTACACATATATGAAGGTAAAACTCGTAAAAAATTGAAATGAAAAAAAAAAAAAAACAAATGACTAATCATTTAAAATTTTTATGGTCTATGCTCGCAGCTTTAACCGCGAAAGAAATATTTGCGTAAACTTCCGATATTACCTATATGTTATAATGGTCATACAAATCAATCAATAATTTTAATTTGTTAAAATTTTTCTTACTACAGGGTTTTTTATATTTTTACTGGGCATGTTTTGTGCATCTCTCTTATTTTTTTCTTTTGGTGGAAAGAGCTTTTTCCTCGGCAATTAAGAAATAATTTACCCTTATTAGGACCATGTCCCATCTAGTAAAGTTGGTCTGAGAGGACCTTTTGTCAGTTTCACGTTATAAACCTATCAGTGCGGGACAAAGGAGGCTTCCTTCATTAACTCTACTCAGCTTAAATATTCATGAGACGAAAGTTCCACAGAATACTTTTGGGACATTGTGACGTAAACAAATTCACTCGGAATGTTAATGGTACTGCGCAGAAATATGAAATAATTTACTAAATATTAAGCAGTGTCAGCACATAAGTTAGGTGCTCACAACTCCAGTTCGAATCTCTTCGATACCACTGAATTTGTAATTGCAATTTTAGTTACTGATATATCTCGTGCACGGCGTTGTGAAATAACTGCGGGAGAAAGCCTGTATGTCTGAAATTTTAAAGAAATATTTCGTGGACATTTGGATACTGGCAATTCTCCTTGGAGTAGTGTGACGGATTATTTCTAATTCCATAACCCGTTCTGAAATGTGGGCAGCCATTATTTACTTTTTACTTTAATACTATTGTATCGTATTATATCATCTTACTTGGATTTTTTTATAGAATAAGGGTGACAAACGAGCACACAGTCCACCTGATGGTAAGAGGATGCTGTGGCCAATAGACATCTACATTTATCCGCGATCAAGAATCAAAATGCAGATGCGTTGTCACCCCTGAGGACTAAGATAGTGTCTCGTTTCCATCAAAAAGGATCTCCAGTTCTCTAAACTCGCCATACGAAACACAGCAGCATTGAGCTGCTATTTTACGCTGGTATTGTTTGAGAGCGTAGTCCCACCCCGGTCAAGCCGACCCATTCGTGCTACAACCATGATATAGCTGCAGCATGGCTTTACCACGTAAAAATTGGATGCATGTGGCTCAAGACCGTGCTTTGTGGCATTCCTTAGGGAAGGAGGAAAGGCTCATGTTTAGTAGCAGACTTGTGAAGGTAGAACTTGTGTAATGATGATGCTGATGGTGATGATGATGACTTGGTTGTGATGTGGCAGTGAACTATTTTCTACCTAGGAGTTCGTATGGTTAGGTACCATCCTCTTATCTATTTCTGACGTCAAACAGCAGTGCTTGCGCTATTGTGTTCCAGTCTGAAGATTATAGAGAACTAAAATAACTGACAGGCATTCCACCTTATTTCTTAGAGTTGACAACATATTGTAGCCTTCTTTGTTTAAAAGTTAGTTGCAGATGCTATAAATATTAATTCAAGTTAGAACAATTTTATAATAACTAAGTGATATTGATAAATCCTTAAAAATAAAAACTCTACGCTGTCTTCGAGTGATATGTACAATTTTTATAATACACTGGTTTTAAACGGGCTCTTATTGGTAATTGGATACTGTGGCACATCAACGTTAATTTATCCTCGATCAAGAATTAAAATGCAGATGCGTTGGCACTACTGAGGACTTGAATAGAATGCTTCGTTGCTTTTTAAAAAGTACTGCATAGGTACGAAAACACAGCAGCGTTATGCTGTTATTTTCAGCTGGTAATCTGTAACAGAATACTCCTGTACCGGGTGAACCATCCCATTCGTAATGCAGCCGTAATACACCTGCAATATTGCTTCTTTAAAAGAATAAAAATAAAACTCAGTATAATATTATGTAACTATTTTATCTAATAACATTTTAATATCCAATTTAATAAATTGAGACGTAAAATAAAATGAAATCGAATAATATTAAGCTTATGCACTCGTATTCTCTACGATCATCATAAAGCTCAAGTTTGCGAAAGCTCTATCGTTACTGAGTCGGCGCGAAATGACATCTAGAGTGGAGGGGGCAGTAACCTCAAAGATATCGGACGTGAAGGTTGTGTCACTCTGTTTAAAATATACATCGCGATCTCGAATAAACTATCGGTAATGTTTTTAACAAGAACCTTAATTAAATAAAAAATGCAAATGTACATCCAAAGCAGTAACTATGTGATATAGAGTGCTGTGTCAGTAATCCTTAGTGTCAAGCATGGTCGCGGGACCAATTAAAAAAGATAAACGTGCATGGAACCAGTTGAAAAGTGCTCTGTTTTTACATCTTTTGTTTACTTTACTTCAGGTAGCAAAAGGTAAGTTAATCCAGATTGTAATCGTCAATTTTTAAATGGTAATTAAGCAGCCAACTGTTGTTATCTCTTAGAAAGCGACCGCGAAAGTAGACTGAATTAAAAAAAGTTAGCACTATACTTTTTTCCGTAATATTTTTTAGATTCGTTTTCTAATTATATGTATGCTTTGTATTTTATTGTATTTTACTTGGGTATGTTCAGAAGCACTTATTTATTATATTATTAGTTTGCTATTATTAATTCTGTAATATTAAGTACCTTTAGTGTGAAATAGTTATTTATTTAACAATTCATCAAAGGATTTAAAATTATTTCTTTTCGGAAAATCACGTTTTTAATTTTGTTATATTTTAAGGTTTTAAAAATAAATTAGAAACATCTTTATTTGCTTTTCAATGTATTAATTAATATGGTATACGTTATTTAGAAAATATATGATAAATTTACCGTGGCAGCTGAGATGGTTAGCGCTTGCTGTAAGCTTCACAGTACTCGAGTCGGGTTCGATACACGCCGGCATCAAAAAAATTAAATTGTTAATTGCAATTTTATGCGCTGATTTACCACGTGCTCGGCGGTGAAGGAAAACATCGTGAGGAAACCTGCACGACTGAGAAATAAGAAAAAATATTTCGATGACATGTTCTGTTCGCCAACACGCATTGGGGCAGCGTGGCTGACATTTCCTTGCCCTAAAACCCTTTCAGAAATGAGAGGAGGCCTGTGCCCAGCAGTGAGACGTAAATAGGCTGTAACTTTACTTTTTTTACTTTATGATACATTTTATTATTTTAAAAACTGACTGTTTTTACAATATATATAACAAAAGCAACTTATTTTTGGAAAGCCCAAAGTCGAGCGCCCCGTATCAAGGAACACCCAGCTGATACAGTTGTCGGCAGAAGTGAACCAGCAACCCTTCGATGTGTAGCGGAGGGAAAGCCGAAACCAACTATTCAGTGGTACAAAGATGGTATACCAATTACGGCAACAGACCATCCACACAGAGTACTCCTTGAAGATGGACTGCTCTTCCTTAGGTACGTATTATGATAACAATAAGAAATATATAAAGAGATGACGTGTCCTGCTGAATGTTAGCCACGCTAACAACTTTTTAGCATCACAGTTAATGCGCAAGAGATATTATAACGCTGTAGGTGATGTTCCCCTTCTTTCTTCTTTTAAGACCACTGTTGAACATGGGTTTATATCATTTGATGTTTTCTTTAGTCGAAGGATTGAATTATAGGACCTGAATTATATCATCATCACAATAAAATTCGCGATAACATTCATACGACCTGGATGATGGGGGCTTCACCAATGTGCTATTTACCAGAAGTTTTCTTCCTCGCACAACTTATTTGTGGAATAGGGTACTAGCAATAATATTTTGCCGACTGAAACAACACAACATTAAAAAAAAGAGCCTATTTTTTTAAAAACACCAGCAGCGCACATAAAATTTGCCTAGTGTTTCTAGGCTACTGTCACTTACCATCTGGTAAGCCGCATGCTCGTATTCCGCCTCTACTATAAATACAAAAAAATCGTGGTTACATAACAATCCACTGTTGTACCTGGGCCTATTTCATTTTATGAAGGTGTTTTGCACATTTGATGTACTTGATATCTTTAATGTACGTGATTATAATACCACAATCTATCAGAGATCATGCAATATTTCCATAGTTGCTTCTAACGACACCCACAGGATAAAATAGGGTGATGTGATCTTTTAATGTACGTTGCCACCAACCTACGATGCATAATACACACCTTAAAGATTGTTCTTTTCTTTAGGCGACATATTTTAAATTTTATAAAAAATTTCAAACTGTATCATCAGAATGACAACTTATTGCATCAATGACGCATCAACGTTTTTTTTTTTTAGGTTTAACACTACTCCAATCAATTTTGAAGTATTTGTTAGTTGTTAAGTATTATCACTTATTTAAAAAAATTGTTTTAGAGTTATGCGAGGAAAGAAGGAAAGCGACGAGGGCGTGTACTGGTGCGTCGCACGTAACTCTGTCGGGGAAGCAGTTAGCAAGAACGCCACGCTTACTATTGCCGGTAAATTAAACTAATTCCATATGTAATATCATTAAAAATATCATATAAGGTATATTAAATAAATAAATAAAACAAAAACAAACAAAGTGCCGTGTATTGGCGATGTAAGAATACCACTACCCCATCTCATACCGTGGGTGTCGTAAGAGGCGACAGAGGGAAACAAATCAGGAGATGGGCAGCAGCGCCTTCCTAATAATGACAAAAAATTAAAAAAAAAACTGCAGTTGCCAACCCACTCGCCAAGCGTGACAACTATGGCAAATATCCCCCCTATGAGGCGATCTATGGGAGAGGCAAAACAACTGCAATCCGTTTATATTTTAATAAGTTACTATCCCTTTTATATTTTAACTTTTACGCTTATTACAGTCCTCCGAGATGAATTTAGAAATGAACCTCGTGACGTTAAAGTAGCTAGCGGAGAACCTGCTATGTTAGAGTGTTCTTCACCAAGAGGTACTCCAGATCCATCTGTTCACTGGACGAAAGATGGACAAACTTTGGACGCAGAAGTTAATGGACGGTATGAAATACTATAACATATTATTATTTTATTTACAATAACCGTTGAAAAGAATATGGTTGAAAATCAAGTTAAAAACTAATTTTGCTTATTTTTGTTTTAGAATCACGATTGTAGATGGCGGAAATTTGAACATATTGGAAAGTTTACCTTCAGATAGCGGTGTGTACCGATGTATAGCTTCTAATGTTGCAGGGGAAAGACAATCGCGTCCCGCGACTTTACTCGTGTTACGTCGACCACATTTTATCGTGAAACCTAATAATGTAACGGCATTGATTGGACAGAATGTTGAGTTTCACTGCCAAGTAAGTAAACTAAAGAAAACTGCATGTCTATCTTATATTATATATATTTGACATTTATTAACTATATATTTAATGAATACCATTTTCAAATTGTTTTTTTTTAGAATTCACTTTTCAGTTTTATTATTTACTTACAGGTTTCACCAGACTCTGATGTATCGGTTACTTGGTCTCGAGACAAAGGTTCTCTATCTTCATACGCTATAATTCGTCGAGGCTCATTACGTATAGACAGGGTTGTAAATTCTGACGCCGGCACATATACATGTCGAGCTGAGAGTCAAGCTGGAACAAGCAGTGCCAGTGCTGTTCTTACTGTCAATTGTAAGTTTGAATAGGACCTAAACATTAAATTAAAAAAAAATCAATCTCTATGTACATATAATATTTTGAAAAAGTAATTTAAACGTTGGTGGTTTTCATATTATAAAATATTTTTAGCTCTGCCTCATTTCACAAGAGTACCATCAGATCAAACTGCTTGGGAAGGAGAATCAGTATCATTTCCTTGTGAGGCTGAAGGGACGCCTAAACCTGTAATATTCTGGACAATGGAAGGATCTAAGGTATCCTTAATTTACACAATGTATGCTTGTCATATTTTTATTAAAATAAATTGTTGCTTCTCCACCTCACTATTTTAGTTAGTATTGGCGGATATAACATATATTCTAAATATATATTTGATTATTCAGGCGTACGGGTTTAAACAATGCTTCACAGCCGAGTGCTTAATATTTAAGCAAGCATTAAAAATTTTGATTAAAACTTCACAGCTACGAGTGCCGTAAAGCGGGCTTGATTGCTCGCTTTATATGAACTCTTTTTATTTGTTTATCTTCGCAGGAATTAATATTTCCAAACTCTATGCACAATAGTGGGTCTTTATATTTGGAACGAGTGTTTACGCAACATGCTGGTAGATTAACTTGTGTAGCTGTCAGCGCAGCGGGAAGTGCTTTACATACGGCAACGTTACAAGTACGTATTGCGTAGCTATCTTCATAATTATGAAGTATTAACAATTTACAAGTCCTTAATTTTTTTGTGCGTGTGTTCTCTTTACAAAATTTTTAATGTTAAATTATTTCCATTATTAGATATAATCTCTATCAAAGTAAGTTATTGTTCATGTCAGTGCTTGTACTAACCGTATTATTTATTACACAAACCTAATATATAGGCTTATAATAGGATTATAAACTCCAATAACTACAACGCTCATTACGAAAAAGGCCAATTTTAGGTAAATATTCATATGAGTGACTTTTGTATTGATTATATATTTTTGTTGAAACTAGCACAAAAATTATCAAAACTTAAATTTTGCAATAAGCAAATAACGTTTTAACCATAAGAACCACATTTACCGATTGTTACATGGTATCCCAAACACATCGAAACAGAATAATGCAAATTGTGTGAGCAATGTTGCCTGCATTGCATTGCATTCAACTTTTTGCTTAAATAATTTATTATAAAGTGGGATTACAATTATTATTATGAGACTGTCCCATAAAATCTGGGGCGGTAGTCCGCTTTACTCCTTATTGTTATTTGACGTTTATGACCTTTGGAACTGTTTATGAACTGGTCTTTTAAACTTCAATAAATCATTTAAAAAAGAACCCTGGTAAAATTCACTTCATGTGCTCCCTGCATTTTTAATATTTTGTAGGTATTAAAAAGAGAAGCGAATTCGTTCAATCCAAATTCAGAATCATCGTCACCTTTTCCGGATATAAATAAGCCACAAAATCATCCACCGATGACGCAGTATGAATTAGTTCAAGCACGCCGTTATTTACAACAGGATGTTCTAGCCCTGCGAAGAGTTGAAGGAATATCCGCTACAACACTTAAAATTGTTTGGGATGTTAGTAACTATAAATCTTATTAATTTTAAATAAAATTAATGAAAAATAATTATAATTAATATCCTAAATATAATATAATTTAGAACATAATATTTGGACAACTACAAACGATACAATTTTTTTAGGTAATGACAGATTACAATGAGTATTTAGAAGGTGTTAAAATATTGTTCAATGGGTCGTCTTTTAATAGAAAATTTGCCCTCGAAGTGCAAAATACTCAATTAAACACGACTGTTGATAGCTTGGCGGAATTATCAAAATTTGATAACTTCAGTATGACCACAGTGCACAATAGTGGATCATCGAGTCACATTTTAACAGGGCTACTGCCATACGCACAGTACAATGTATTTTTGATGCCTTTTTACAAGCTATTACTAGGGAAGCCATCCAATATGAAGTCTGGTCACACTGAAGAAGATAGTAAGTAAAGTTGAAATGTTAAAATTTATGATGAGAATCGTTTACAGAGTACTTCACGTTATTTTCTTTTAGTTCCTTCAGCACCACCACAAAGTGTAACAGCTGCAGTAATAAATACAACTTCAGCATGGATTCGTTGGGATCCACCACCAATTCATAATTGGAATGGAGAACTTTCCGGATATTTGGTAAGAACAGTCATAAATTACGCATCCATTATAATTTTTCTAATCATATCTACACATGTCTGTTTTACAATCATTTAACATGTATTTGGTAAGTACTCTGGTATTCACAAATTTTTTTCATATCGTACCACAAAGTCTTTGGTTTGCACTATTTATGTTTTAATACGGCGAAGCAGTGGTAGTTCAGATGGTTAGCGCTCGCTTTAAATTTCACAGTACGGGAGCAACCCGGGTTCGATCCACACCGGCACCAATGAAATTGTTAATTGCAATTTTAAGTGCTGATTTACGTGCTCGGCGGTGAAGGAAAACATCGTGAGGAAACCTGCATGTCTGAGAAATAAGAAAAAAATGCGAAGACATGTGAAGTTGGCCAACACGCATTGGGGCAGCGTGGCGGACATTTACTTGCCCTAAAACTCTCTCAGAAATGAGAGGAGATCTGTGTCCAGCAGTGGGACGTATATAGGCTTAGAACTTTTTTCTTTACGGCGACACGTCTAATTATAGTTTAGAGCTGTTTGATAAATGACCAAAATTTGCTTTGGCAAATACTACCATATTTTCATTGATGAATTCTATCTTTTCACCAATACTCATATTTTCACATTTTTATGGATTTAGATCGAGATACGAGTAGGCAGCGGTATTACTGGTCGTGTGGTGGGTCAGATGTCACTGGGCGCACGCACGCGCGCTGCCACGGCCAGCTCGCTGAGAGCGGGTGGACGCTACAGTGCCCGCGCTGCTGCTGTCACACGTAGAGGACATGGACCCTTCAGTGCACCCGCACTCTTATATATGCTGCCAACACAATCACAGAGACACTACGTTCAGTAAGTATTACTTCGAGTAGGCTGCAATACAAGAACTTGTTATAACGAATTTCTGTAGGCGTTCACGCCTGCACTACGAGTATACTTGTGCAATCAATAAGCAAAGATGTATTGCTTGTTTCAGAACTGAGCCTGCTAGAGATAAAGCATTGCTGACAATGTTTCATGAATCTTGGCTATTAGCAATGAGCGTATTGTTGTTGACGTTGGTTCTGATTGGCGCGGGGATAATATTTTATCTTCGTCGGAAACAATTGAAACAAAGGAAGAGTCAAAGCTCCGTAGGTTAGTTTTATTTGAGTTTTGAATACTTATGTGCAGTTAACATAATATTATTTATTTAATGTTTAAAATATTTATGATTCTATTAAGCATTAATATTTTAGGTACACCAATTGCTAATGCTCAGCAGTGTTTGTTAGGAAAGGAAGCAGTATGGCTTCGCGAAAGACCAATGTTTGAAGGCTCCAATGAACCAAGAATTGAAATTTTGAATTGCCATCAGAGTATCATACATGGTAATATTTTAGTTTTTTTTTATGTAATTTTATGTAGCTTTTTAATAATAATTTATCGTTTATAATATAATTATCGAAACACATTGATTAGGGTAGGAATATTAAAAAATTGCTTGCAACGATTCTTGAATATACTTCGAAAAAAGTGCAGAAGGTATTAACTTATTTCTTATTTAAATATTACTGTCTCATTGGTCTAATGCTCATAAGTGCAAGTGCTGATTATGAGGTACCGGATTTGAATCCGTGGTCGGATCGAAATCGGGTTTTTCTGTGAAGAAGACCTCAGTAGTAGCCCAAAGTTAGTAAGTTGACCTTGTTCCATCCCTGTTCCTTGGAAAGAAATTAAGGCTATTAGTCCATGATGGCATGATCTCATTCAGGTCGTATCGGATTCCCGTTCGTTAATACTGACCTGATCTGGAGGATATTAAGTTATACGAAAAATAAAGTAAGTGGTATTCTACACGTGTAACGATAATCTCCACAGTTTATATAATTTGTTCTGCAGGTGGACACACCATAGGCACAATGGCTATGGAGGCTGAATATAGTCTCCCGCAACACACAAATAACATAACTGACATAATTCACGAAGATCGACGAAAAGTTGCTCCAGAGCCATACGCATCTAGTGCAATTTATACTGAATTAAATTATCAGGTACAAGTCTCTTACAAGTCTCTTTTAATATATATTTTACTTAACATCTTATTTACATTATCTTATTTTAAAAATGCATGCAATTTAATTCACAGGATCATACAGATGCTGAAGATTCTTGTATAAAATGTGCAGTAAGCCCTGGGTCATATGATAACAGTATGGTTAGATCTTTTGGTGATAGTAATCAATATTCGAATGAAGAATGTTCTACGTGTTGTCGCAGCAGTAGTTCAACTTTAACAAAAGAATATAGTGAAATGACTAAATGTGGAAATGAAGTTGAAGAAATACAAGACATACCAGTAGATGAATGTCCATCGTGTAAGACAAACCAATCAAGGTCATCAAGTCAGCATGATGGTGGCCAAGAATGGGCTACGGTTACAGAAGTAGAGTATGATTATTCCCAATGGCATTGGTTAAGAAGGGAAAATAGTTTTCGACACATCGGACAAGACTCAAGACAATCAACACAAGGCGGGAGAAGCGATCACAATTTTAGAATGAATTTATGTGATATACTTCCTCCACCACCATATGAAAGGTACATGCTATTTTCAAATAGTAAAAATCCTTCGTTTTAATTTTTACACAATCTTAATTTCTTACTTTTTTTTTACAGAGAGTCTCCATACAGAGAATTGCATACATTTGTCAATCATTCAGGTGCATCAGGTTGTTCTGGACAGAGTTATAGAAGTTAATTTACAGCAATATAACGAAAATTTTGTTGTGAGCAAATATCATTAGTACGTAACGCAAGCAATAATACATAATTTAGTGAATTGTAAATATTACGCTAATAATTTATCTTAATAAAGACTTAGACAAAGAACATTACACCTCGAATGAATGCTCAATTTATTGTTTCTTGTTTTGCAAAATATTTTAACATATCTACGAATTGTAATTATACTTTACGTAATGGATATTTTTTTTGGCTGTGATTGTTTTTATTTATGTAAAATTGGTGACAAATTTATTTCGCTGTATGAGTATTGTGAAAGTGTTTAAATAGACTGCTAAAATGTAATGTAACTTATACTAGGCATTAGGTTTTCATCTCTCTCTAGTGACTGTGATATAGTATAATTTCTTATTCAATTTTTCATTTTGTACATAATTTGAAATATTTGATATCCTTATACAATTTTACCCTTTCCTATTTATGATGTGTAGTGATATGTAATTAAAAAAAATTGAACCAGTACTAATATATTTCAATTATATAAATATCTGTAGCATTTTATACCTGAACAGGACTCCTGTGCCATTGACGACATTCTTTTGTATACCGAGAAAAATTTAGAGTTTTATTAAAACTGGTTTAACAGCAATACTACATGTTTCATTTTCCAGTATTTTACTCTAACTATTAGATTATATTTTATTTAAGAAAAAATATTTTTAGTTGATATTTAAATAAATTTTAATAACGTACGTAATATAATATAAAGCCATGGTGTCTCATGGGATAAGTGCTCCACTTAAAATTTCATAGTACACGAGAGAGCCAAGTTACAAGCCTATTGTCCCACAGAAGTGGTTCATTCCAACTTTAAGAGTCAATTTACCATATATTGAGGTTAAAGCAAACTATATTATGAGGAAACTTACATGTCTGAGATATTTTGGAGGACTCAGCATGGTGGATTCTTTCCTGCTCCAGAAATCTTTTTAAAACTGATATTAGATGGAATGGCCTGTAAGTAGACTGTTACTTTACTTTTTTATGTAATGTATTGTGAAAAAAATTACAACTCTTTCAAAAATTATCCTTTGTGTAAAATGAATTTCGGAGGAAAGTAAGTACTTAATAGTAAACAAATAACAATTCATTAAAATTAATCAGCTTTGTTGTAAATATTCCAACATGTATTATGTGCAAGTCGCAACAGCCTGCGTTTTAACTTGAGGGCGTTACCATGACAACAGGTTGGGAATTCACCCCTACTGCGCCCTTGTTATTAATACCCGCAATAATTAAACTTGATTGCATTTCACACCAGGTGTTGGATGACGGCTCTTGTCGAGGAATAGAGCTCGATGACTCTTCAACTTTTACCAAATAAGATGGTCATAAAATGAAACAGTTCATTAAAGATCACACGCCCATTCTATATAGATAGCAGTACTATGAGAATATTGTTCTTTCATATCTTTAAATTATTTATTCATAGATATCCGATAATTGTATTCGAATACTTTTGTCACATTAAATTCAAAAAATTGTTATGATTTCTTATATTTACGCGAACACTACACATTGAATAAAACTACTTTTACGGATTCTATCGCCGTTAATTAACTTATTTTACCCATGGTCAAGGGGGTCCACCCGGTGTTAACTACCCGAAACGTCGGGAATCAATAAAAATTAGTTAATTAAACGCGACAGAATCCGTAAAAGTAGTTTTATTCAAAGAATTGTTAATAATTAAACTATTGATAAAAAATAAAAACCAACTTGAAAAACTAAAAAGAGTAAAATGATTTCTACTTATATTCTCAAGTCGATGCTAAGATATAGTGTATAAAATACTTCAAACCACAACTTCAGAAGCTATTATGTGGAAATTATTTCTTTAAAAAACCTTACATGCTAGGATTTTCTCCTGTATCATAGAGGCAGTTTACAAACATAAATTGCACGAGGACAGACATCCAGACCGGGAACAATCATTTGTAGTTTGTACAAATACATACTTGTTCCATGCGGAGTTTGAACCCACGGCCCCCAAAGCTGCAACTCATTGGTCTGAATGAAGCCGTCGGAATTTGATTCTTATTACTTTTTGAAGTAATTTTTTACTTTTATTCGTTTAATTATTTTTCTCTTTTCATTGGAGCGAGGAATATCACTGTGTCGCTTAAATAATTACACCAAAAAATGTTAACCACTATTTTTCCTATTTAAGTCAATTTTTTTTTTAATTTAGATAAATATTAACTATTTAATTAAAAGAAACCTTTAAATCCATCCATCTGTTTTAGAGATATCGGTATAAAAACATAGAAATCTCTCGTTTTCTTAAAATCTCGGTTGAAAATTGTGCAACAACTTTATCCTCTTTGCGCGAGATGAATCTGAGAAGACAAAATAATATACATGTACTACTTTATTTTTCACGTTCAAATACAGAAAAAAGCAGTGTCATGTTCTCTAACTGTAACTGCTAGCGTGGTGTAGCAAGAAATTTGTGCGCACAAATATAATATCAACATATATTTTTTAATATTACAGAGGAATATAAAATATGGCATCGCTCGATGCAAATACAGCCTTATTAAAAAAAAACTTGTAGTTGCCAGTAATTTTATATCTTCATTTTGAAACCAGTTCCTCTTGTGACGCTTGGAAGTAAAGAACTCTCTATCACGTTTTCAAGTGGCAGGATGACAGAGAAAAATTTACAGATGAAAGAAACGTCATTAAATAGAAATTGTCGAATGTTAATGACGACGGGTTAAAATAGAGTTGTTTTTAATTACAAAAAAATATTTATATTTATATTTAAAGCAATAAATAAAATTAATTGAATGTTTTAAATAAAGGTAAGTTAAATTTTGAAAACGTGTGAATTATAATTATAATATATAGGTTTTATACATATTATATCATTTATTTAACACATTTTAAAACCACTGCTATGCATAGGCGTTACTAAGAAAAAATGGTAGCTGGTATGCACTACATGAAAGTCGCTTTCAGACTTGTAGATCACACTACTCCTGATCTTCTGTTCACTATTTAATGAATATTGAATTCAGTGGTTATCAGATCTTCTACCATCACCGTGTTCACGTGAGCTTAGCATTTTTTAGAGGATAAAAAAACATGTGAAATAGGTTCAAAATTAATTGCAGTAGGGCACGTACGTCACGGATAAACTTCAGGAAAGTCGTTAAGATTGCACAGACACATACGACGTAAGCCTGTGAAGTACGTTAGAAGCAAATGACTTGATATCGTTGTGGCTGAAACAAGACCACGTAGCAAACACAAAAAGCGATTTCTCTAACTCGTGAAGTTTGCCAAAGTGGTGACGGATAGGCAGAAAAGCAGACCTAGGCAGTAACCGGGAAGCACTATAGCAGAGCGACAGGCTCTTCTCACTCTATTATACTCTTAACTGTTGGCTGTACTCAGCAGGAGGACGTATATAAGACGCAACTTTAGGTTTTAACTTTTTTTTTATTGGATAGGGTGACAAACGAGCACACAGTCCACCTGATGGTAAGTGGTTGCTGTGGCTCATAGACATCTACATCTATCCTCGTTTGCGAATCAAAATGCAGATGCGTTGTCACTCGTGAGGACTAATATGGAATGCCTCTTTTCCAATAAAAAGGGTCTCCGCTTCTCTACACTCACCATACGAAACACAGCAGTGTTAAGCTGCTATTTTACGCTGGTATTCTGTGAGAGTGTGATCCTTCCCCGGTCGAGCCGACCCATTCGTGCTACAATTATACAACTAATATAGTTCAGCATGGCTCTACCACGTATAACTACTCTGAAATCTTCGAATTTAATCTCCAGCCAGTACTTCATTGTACAATCATTCCATCTTTAAGGATTCACAAAATGAGTTAACCTAAATTATAATTACAGGACAGCGACAGAGTTGCCACAGGCTGGTATTGTGATCTGTCCACGTACAATAAAGTCAACAGAAAACACATGCGTTTATATGTTTTTGTTTTAAATGTGTGTATCAAATAAATAGTTGTATACTTTTTTTCAAAGCTTTTTGTTCTGTTTACTTGTACGTCACATTTGTCGCAGCCTAAATGCGCCCACATACGCCTACGTGTCATTAGAGTTCGTCGTTTCTTGGGCGGACATAATGCGGTAAAATGAGGAAAGGAATAATGATGTGGAAATGAACAAAATCGGCGCATATGGTGACACGGTACAACATTAATGCCCCCTTAACATCCTTGGTAGACACATCGCCCTGTAAAACATGATTAGTATGACAGGAATGCTCTGTTTTTCTTATAATATCATTATTAAAGTATATACGTTGTATTTATTTAATGTTCTCATACTGCATAATATGCTATCTTGGGAGAATGAAATATTAGCATTCTTTTTAAATAGTAATTGGCAATGGTGTTGTTGTTCTTGTTTCTTTTTCTCTTTGTTCATTGGTGGCGGTCGACACTTACCATCAGGTGAGCCACATACTCGTAAAAAATATATTTGCTTCCGGCTTTAAATATATCTTACAAATATGGTAGAAAAAATATTTGTAGGCAACGATAATTACGATAACTGTATTTACTACATTAAGACCCGTATATCGCGTAATTAAGATAAAAATCATGCGACTTTGCCCACGAGAAATTTATTACTATTGGATTTCATGGGTTTCAAATTTTTTTTGCTCGGAACCCTAATTCTTTTTCTAAAATTAAAGTAGCTTAAGTTACTCCTTGTAACACCAGCCGTATGCCAAAAATATATGCGTCCCGTCAAAATCGGTCCTGCCGTTTCCGAACAAAAAAACAGACAGACAGACAGACAAACATTTTAAAAATTGTTTTTTGTTATAAGTACCATATATACTTAGTAAAAGTTAAAAACTCATATATATTTAGTAAAAGCTGTTATTTTGACATTACGAACAGACACTTCAATTTTATTTATGTGTATAGATTCATGCAGTCATACAAAATGTTATCATGAAATTTATTA